GTAGGGTTTGATTTGGGTATTTTTATAACCCGACAGGTCCCATGGGCTCCTGTACTGTACGTGAGTAGGGTTTGATTTGGGTTTTCTTATAACCCGACAGGTCCCATGTACTGTACGTGAGTAGGGTTTGATTTGGGTATTCTTATAACCTGACAGGTCCCATGGGCTCCTGTACTGTACGTGAGTAGGGTTTGATTTGGGTTTTCTTATAACCCGACAGGTCCCATGGGCTCATGTACTGTACGTGAGTAGGGTTTGATTTGGGTTTTCTTATAACCCGACAGGTCCCATGGGCTCATGTACTGTACGTGAGTAGGGTTTGATTTGGGTTTTCTTATAACCTGACAGGTCCCATGTACTGTACGTGAGTAGGGTTTGATTTGGGTACTCTTATAACCTGATATGTTTCACTTAAGATAATTAACCTAATGAATAAATCATTGTACACATTATCAGTAGTACTTAAACAATATAAACTATAGCTGCAATGATCTTTCACTAATTTGTCGAAATTTGATATAACTATGTCTTATAGTTGATAAATGTATTTCAATCACATCATTACAGATACAATTTTTTACCCAATGTACTGTGGAATGCGGTACACTGAGTAACAGATCCAGGAACAAATGAACCATCTCTTCTACCTGGTTGGAGTAACTTCTTTCGAACCTGGTTATTGACATGAGATAAAATCGACTGAAGATCTTCTCTTTCTGAATACTTTTCAATATTTTCAACCAAGATACTGATATACCAAGACCCCTCAGTTGTACTTCTCCATGACACATGTCCCGGTGTAGTGGAATACCCAATACAAAAATCAGCCTCATTGGCTGTAATGCTAGATTTAGCATCAGTCACTGCATCATATTGAGCATCAGCAACTGCTGCCATTTTGTATGACCCCTGACATGCCTGAATGAAAAATAATTTAGGTTTTCCCATTAGACTTGGACACGCAATTGCATTGAAATGACTGGTGAGATCCTTTACAATGACACGGTTCCCATCAACCCCACACACTACGCCTTCATCACCATGTGATAGAATACACACTATGATACAATCTGCTTTGCTGTGGTCTTGAATACTTATGTCTCGAATTTCACCATACATTTGATGGCCAGTCAGGTCATTGAACACATGTACTTTGAATCCCTTTCTTTGAAATAATTGCTCCAACTTCTCTGAAAAAAAATACAAAATTTTATAAAATCATCATTTCTATTCTATCAGTTAATAGTTGTGGCTAATCCTGAAATATAGGAAAACATTTTCATTTGTCTCTGATAATTACTTTAAAGATGTGGTGTTACAACAAAGTGACTGCAATGAATGAATGAGTTTTTAAAACATTATCGTTTACTTTGATGGTAGCCATGGTGTTTTTTTGTCACTGAATTTTCTTAAATCTTTGTTACAAGATTGATTACATATACAATGTTTTTAATTTCAAAAAAATAATACTCCAAACTAGAGATGATACACTGTAGTATTTGCTCCACTGTTGACATTGTCCGCCAAGCCAAGCAATTTTAATCAAACAGACGAACAAAGAAATGAAGAGAGGAGGGACAGAATAGAATGAAACGAACAAACTGTCGGTCAGTCGGGTTCCATTCAATATCTCCTCCTTCTGACTATTCATCCGAACATTTCATGATATATAAGATTTGAGAGAATAACAAAATTGCATGTTCTGCATTACTTACTGCCGTCAATTTCTGTGCCATATCTATTGTGCTTTGTATTGTGGAATGTGTGGTTATTTATGATAATAGCCTGGCCTTTTTTTCTAATATCATATTTTGGGATATCTAAAGAAAGAAAAAGTAAATCAATAATCTGTAACCTATATGTGGTGTGAAAACATTTGGAGGCAATGATAAAGACATAAATGTCATTGTTTCTATCTTTGAAAATAGAATACATATCATATACATAGACTTACATATCATAAATAACTAACTGGCAAATCATGTTTACAGTATCGGCCATGGTATTTCAGAGAATTCAGCCATTTTGAATCAAATCACAAACAAACTGAGGAGCCTTTTATGTGTGATGTAATTATTTTTATAAAAAGTTTGAAAAGAATCAGAATAGAATATATAGTAAAAATTACATCAGAAATTAGTCTAGTATTATAGCCAAAACATTATTCCATAATTAATATTCATCTCTCTGAAATAAAGTCGTATTTTATTTTGACCTATGTTACCCAGTGTTTCTACAGTGACAGACGGTGTTGTCACCAGTGTTGCTACATGTCAAACAGTGTTGTCATTCATGTTGCTCAGCATTGCTACAGAGATATCTTGCGACCTGGCAAACAGAGAATTGAAGTATTTTTCTAGAAATGCATCATTTGTTGTCCATTCCCATATACACCAGTAAGAGCATATTTTAGAAGCATTTATTCCGGAGGTATGTTTATTTGGAACATGAGAGTAGATTCTTTCCCCTCCCCCCACACCGGTCTTGCTGCAGCACTTTGCACTGCCTAGGGCCTTTTTATTTTATTATTTGGCCTGTTGTTACAAGAGTATGGCCAGCTATTTCACACATTATTGTCACCTGTGGTGCTAGATATCACACAATACTGTCACCTGTGCTGCTGGATAACACACATTATTGTCACCTGTGTTGTCAAATATCACACAGTACTGTCTTATGTGTTGCTAGATATCACACAGTATTGTCACCTGTGTTGCTAGATATCACACAGTATTGTCACCTGTGTTGCTAGATATCGCACTGTATTGTCACCTGTGCTGTTAGATATCACACAGTATTGTCACCTGTGTTGTTAGATATCACACAGTATTGTCACCTGTGTTGCTAGATATCACACAGTATTGTCACCTGTGTTGCTAGATATCACACAGTATTGTCACCTGTGTTGCTAGATATCACACAGTATTGTTTCCTGTGTTGTTAGATATCACCCAATACTGTCACCTGTGTTGCTAGATATCACAGAGTATTGTCACCTGTGTTGCTAGGTATCAAACAGTATTGTCACCAGTGTTGCTAGATATAACAAAGTATTGTCACCAGTGTTGCTAGATATCCTACAAAATTGTCACCTGTTTTACTAGATATAACACAGTATTGTCACCAGTGTTGCTAGATACTACACAGTATTGTCACCTGTGTTGCTAGATATCACACAGTATTGTCACCTGTGTTGCTAGATATCACACAGTATTGTTTCCTGTGTTGTTAGATATCACCCAATACTGTCACCCGTGTTGCTAGAATATCACACAGTATTGTCACCTGTGTTGCTAGATATCAAACAGTATTGTCATCTGTGTTGCTAGGTATCACACAGTGTTGTCACCTGTGTTGCTAGATATCACAGAGTATTGTCACCTGTGTTGCTAGATATCAAACAGTATTGTCATCTGTGTTGCTAGGTATCACACAGTATTGTCACCTGTGTTGCCAGATATCGCACATTATTGTCACCTGTGTTGCTAGATATAACAAAGTATTGTCACCAGTGTTGCTAGATATCCTACAATATTGTCACCTGTTTTACTAGATATAACACAGTATTGTCACCAGTGTTGCTAGATACTACACAGTATTGTCACCTGTGTTGCTAGATATCACACAGTATTGTCACCAGTGTTGCTAGATATCACACTGTATTGTCACCTGTGTTGCTAGACATCGCACAATCTTGTCACCTGTGTTGTTAGATATCACACAGTACTGTCACCTTTGTTGCTAGATATCACACAGTATTGCCACCTGTGTTGCAAGATATCACACAGTATTGTCACCTGTGCTGTTAGATATCAAACAGTATTGTCATATGTGTTGCTAGGTATCACAGTGTTGTCACCTGTGTTGCTAGATACCGCACAATATTGTCACCTGTGTTGTTAGATATCACACAGTATTGTCATATGTGTTGCTAGATATCAAACAGTATTGTCATATGTGTTGCTAGATATCACACAGTATTGTCACCTGTGTTGCTAGATATCACACAGTATTGTTTCCTGTGTTGTTAGATATCACACTGTATTGTCACCTGTGTTGCTAGATATCACACAATATTGTCACCTGTGTTGTTAGATATCACACTGTATTGTCATCTGTGTTGCTAGATATCACACAGTATTGTCGCCTGTGCTGTTAGATATCACACAGTGTTGTCACCTGTGTTGCTAGATATCACACTGTATTGTCACCTGTGTTGCTAGATATCACACTGTATTGTCACCTGTGTTGCTAGATATCACACAATATTGTCACCTGTGTTGTTAGATATCACACTGTATTGTCACCTGTGCTGTTAGATATCACACAGTATTGTCACCTGTGCTGTTAGATATCACACAGTATTGTCACCTGTGCTGTTAGATATCACACAGTATTGTCACCTGTGCTGTTAGATATCACACAGTTTTGTCACCCGTGTTGCTAGATATCACACAGTATTGTCACCTGTGTTGCTAGATATCAAACAGTATTGTCATCTGTGTTGCTAGGTATCACAGTGTTGTCACCTGTGTTGCTAGATATCACAGAGTATTGTCACCTGTGTTGCTAGATATCAAACAGTATTGTCATCTGTGTTGCTAGGTATCACACAGTATTGTCACCTGTGTTGCCAGATATCGCTCATTATTGTCACCTGTGTTGCTAGATATAACAAAGTATTGTCACCAGTGTTGCTAGATATCCTACAATATTGTCACCTGTTTTACTAGATATAACACAGTATTGTCACCAGTGTTGCTAGATACTACACAGTATTGTCACCTGTGTTGCTAGATATCACACAGTATTGTCACCAGTGTTGCTAGATATCACACTGTATTGTCACCTGTGTTGCTAGACATCGCACAATCTTGTCACCTGTGTTGTTAGATATCACACAGTATTGTCATCTGTGTTGCTAGATATCAAACAGTATTGTCATATGTGTTGCTAGATATCACACAGTATTGTCACCTGTGTTGCTAGATATCACACAGTATTGTTTCCTGTGTTGTTAGATATCACACTGTATTGTCACCTGTGTTGCTAGATATCACACAATATTGTCACCTGTGTTGTTAGATATCACACTGTATTGTCACCTGTGTTGCTAGATATCACACAGTATTGTCACGTGTGCTGTTAGATATCACACAGTGTTGTCACCTGTGTTGCTAGATATCACACTGTATTGTCACCTGTGTTGCTAGATATCACACAGTATTGTCACCTGTGTTGCTAGATATCACACAGTATTGTCACCTGTGTTGCTAGATATCACACAGTATTGTTTCCTGTGTTGTTAGATATCACCCAATACTGTCACCTGTGTTGCTAGATATCACAGAGTATTGTCACCTGTGTTGCTAGGTATCAAACAGTATTGTCACCAGTGTTGCTAGATATAACAAAGTATTGTCACCAGTGTTGCTAGATATCCTACAATATTGTCACCTGTTTTACTAGATATAACAGTATTGTCACCAGTGTTGCTAGATTCTACACAGTATTGTCACCTGTGTTGCTAGATATCACACAGTATTGTCACCTGTGTTGCTAGATATCACACAGTATTGTTTCCTGTGTTGTTAGATATCACCCAATACTGTCACCCGTGTTGCTAGATATCACACAGTATTGTCACCTGTGTTGCTAGATATCAAACAGTATTGTCATCTGTGTTGCTAGGTATCACACAGTGTTGTCACCTGTGTTGCTAGATATCACAGAGTATTGTCACCTGTGTTGCTAGATATCAAACAGTATTGTCATCTGTGTTGCTAGGTATCACACAGTATTGTCACCTGTGTTGCCAGATATCCCACATTATTGTCACCTGTGTTGCTAGATATAACAAAGTATTGTCACCAGTGTTGCTAGATATCCTACAATATTGTCACCTGTTTTACTAGATATAACACAGTATTGTCACCAGTGTTGCTAGATACTACACAGTATTGTCGCCTGTGCTGTTAGATATCACACAGTGTTGTCACCTGTGTTGCTAGATATCACACTGTATTGTCACCTGTGTTGCTAGATATCACACTGTATTGTCAGCTGTGTTGCTAGATATCACACAATATTGTCACCTGTGTTGTTAGATATCACACTGTATTGTCACCTGTGCTGTTAGATATCACACAGTATTGTCACCTGTGCTGTTAGATATCACACAGTATTGTCACCTGTGCTGTTAGATATCACACAGTATTGTCACCTGTGCTGTTAGATATCACACAGTATTGTTACCTGTGCTGTTAGATATCACACAGTATTGTCACCTGTGTTGCTAGATATCAAACAGTATTGTCATCTGTGTTGCTAGATATCAAACAGTATTGTCATATGTGTTGCTAGGTATCACAGTGTTGTCACCTGTGTTGCTAGATATCACACAGTGTTGTCACCTGTGTTGCTAGATACCGCACAATATTGTCACCTGTGTTGTTAGATATCACACAGTATTGCCACCTGTGTTGCTAGATATCAAACAGTATTGTCATCTGTGTTGCTAGATATCAAACAGTATTGTCATATGTGTTGCTAGGTATCACAGTGTTGTCACCTGTGTTGCTAGATATCACACAGTGTTGTCACCTGTGTTGCTAGATACCGCACAATATTGTCACCTGTGTTGTTAGATATAACACTGTATTGTCACCTGTGTTGCTAGATATCACACAGTATTGTCACCTGTGTTGCTAGATATCACACAATATTGTTTCCTGTGTTGTTAGATATCACACTGTATTGTCACCTGTGTTGCTAGATATCGCACAATATTGTCACCTGTGTTGTTAAATATCACACAGTA